CTGTAGAGGGCCTTTTTGAATTTTTTATTTGAGTAGCTGGACTGCACGAGCTAAACAGGAAAAATTTAAAAATCCTGTACAAAGTCGTTGTGTGCTGATGCGATTGCTAATTTTACGTTAACTGCAACTTATATTGCGCAATTATCCGTACTGGCGTTTCCCCATAAAACGTTTGAATGGTTAAATACCAAGTTAAAATCTGCCCCTTGTTTATGACCGTTTTATCAGTCAATGTGGGTCACAATTTTCAAAATGCCTCCCAAAAATGCGCCTTCAAGTCAATTAATGTGATTCTTTCCGGCGCATTCACCAGGCCACAAAAAATGGCCCAACTCTTCGTTCAGTCCCAAGAAATAAAAATGTTTAAGTGCCAAGTCGTAAAACCGAAGGAATATCGACTCAAAGTTCGGAACAGGCCTATAAACTTTGACCTAATAATATTTTTGTTAAAGTTTTGGTTTTATGCCGGGATAAAAACCCACAATTTTTTTTCTTACTATTGAGTAATTATTTGATAATCAATTTTAGCTTGTTGACTAAAGTTGAAATCAACATACTTCATTTAAATTTTATAGTAGTTTTCGAATAACGCTTGTAACATCAATCGTGACTGAAAGATAGAGAGATCATGATTTGATGCCCTGAATAATCAATGATACCAAGATGTATGTTAAAACAGCTAATATTTAAATTGACTTGACGGGCCCTAGATATGCAACATAAGCATGTTTCGAAATGTTCAATACATTTTTAAAACCCCTTTTGTTTGTTTAGGAATTGACTCTCTTAGTAGATATCGCTTGATTTTGTAAAGTTAATATAAATAATTCTGCCCTAATTAAGTGGCTGATTTCCACTAATTGTCACAGATAAGCACTTCGGTTGATGTCGGCAATAATAAACATCCAGTTTCAGTTTATCAACTTTATTTTTCAAATGTCCAAGTTGTTGCTGTTTGAATGATCTGTACATAACAACATTGTCTTATACTTATGAGGTTACATCTACATCATATTCATAACATCACAATTGTTTATAAATGTACTAACAAATTGGTGGGCATGCACTATCAGTATATAAGCTTCAATTACAACTAGGGTGTTAAATCAGGAATCGTTATATTGAACACTTATCATGTAATGGCTAATTCTAGGAACAACAGTCTCCATTTGAAGTCCCTCGCCGAAATGTGGCCTCCTGTTACGTATACTGAAGGTATACCGGACAGAAAAACACTCAGGATACATTCAGTATACGTACAGGGGGTTGCATACAGTCAACAAGGGTGAAGATTCACCATCCCGTTCAGTGATCCCTAGAAAAGAAACAGAACTTAAAACGTAAACGCAACTAACATATAGAATTCAAAAAGCCGAGGGTGGTGTGGCAAAGTTCATATAAACAGTTTCGTCGAGGGTGCAATATATTGAGCAAGGTGGGTGAGTTGGTCTCAAGGGGGTCGTAATCTCTGCCACGCTGTTCAAGGGTTGGTAAAAATATCAGTTTCCATACGAAAGAAGTTGACTTTTGGGGTTGCAGTCTCTAAGCAACTTTTATTTACGGTGACTACTTTCAGAGTGGTAAACATGGATAAAATCAGTGGATACAATAAAAAATTGAAAACTTGTTAATTTGTTGAAAAAGTCTTTGAATCAGTCAAATCACAGTAATGTTTAAGGAATTGAATAACAACCGAAAAAACGCGTTCAATGAACAGTAATGACTAATAGACAAATAGTTTACATGGCATGCTCCAAATGTGTTTGTTTACTTACCGGTGTTGGCTGATCTCGAACTGGAATCGAGATGATGTGAAGAAGCTGGCAAGTTGAGGTCTGGAAAAGCAGTGAACTTAGCAGCGTCGCGACGTATCTATCCAGTTTCGCGACGCCGTCGCAGTGCACCGTCCCCCCTCACCGTGGGCTGGATTCCTCTTTTATCTGCCGTAACGAAGAGACTGTGACGTTCGGGGTGTGGTCCCTATACTGGATGATCTTTATTTACACGGCATGATTACTCTGCATGGCAAATACATAAATTTCCTGCTATTATCGTCTATGAACTTTAGACTGTGAAGCACGTTGTCTGGCCACATCACAATATCAAACGAAAATCGACTGACGCGCACGTTCTGGCGTTCATGAATGGTGAACAGATTACGCGTCATGGCATGCATAAGAGGAGGGCTGCATTTAGAAGATCGGTTATAAAAAGGCGGAGTTATCTTGCTGGTAAAGTGGCGTGTGTCGGACAAGGACGGGCCTGCTGGAACGGAGATCGCACTCGTGTCGATACCATTACCTATAAAAACAGGCAAAATTTATTAAACCATTTCCGAAGGGTAGATTGGGAAACTAATGCCATTAAGACAGACTACTATTTTGCAATTTCTAGCAAAGCTAGGCGATGTACTTTTTACAGCTTTTCTTAAAATGTTGTTAGGACGTTATAAAAAATGCTCATTTTCGGCTTTTTGATAAATTTACCAGGTTTACATCAAGTACAGTAGAACAGCGCAGGAGGTCGCCAGTAACTGTATATCATACCTGCTATTGTTGAGATTGAAATTTGTTACTTTTGGGTCACCAATCAGGTCTAGTTTCGGTATTCAGGTCATCAATTAATTATTTGACGAAGCTCAAACACATTTGTCAATTTTGAAATATCCTAATGTAACTAGTTTTAATTGTGGAAACCAATATCGACCCTTTTCTGTAAATTGGTAAATAATATATTGCATTAGGGCAGAAAGACCGATAGGTCGATAGCCTTTTTTTAGAAATAAAGATGTTTACTACTACTATATTGCATTGTACAAAAGAGTTTCTATTATGATGGTCATTTTCCACAGGGCTTTTTCAGATTTTCCTCTGATTGAATACAATTTACGTAAAAAATCCATTACAACGTATTGGTAGTATTAGGATTACCAACATTACTGGTTTTTATTAGCGGATTCCACCACATTTACCTTGAAACCCAACACGACGCTTTTGAATAAAACGATCACGTTTTCAGTTCAACGTTCCTTTAGGTGTAGTGTTTTTTACGAAGTAAGTCGTACGAAATATTGGTATCAAGTGTTACCAGAAAGCATTGAGTTCATTCATAAAATATGGTTAATGTAGGTGATACGTGGTGAAATGATTCATTACTTTATTAAGCAGTGGGAGAGTCAGCACCTATGTCCCATCTGATATTTTTATTTCGGTCAATTTTTTTTATTAGAAACCTGAAGGTCTTTACTGCAGAAGAATAGCCGGATTGTTAATGTCGTGCATAAATCAATGGATGCCTATTAAAAATAGAACTAGTTTCATATCGTAAAATGTAATTTTACTTAAAATTCTTCTCTGTTGGTATTTTATTTATTTTTATTTAGCCCAGGCTGCCCCTGTGGTTTTTGCCATGTATGATAGATTTTTTAACAAATGTAATTCCATTTTTTATTAGGGTAACTGGTCTTAGGCCATGTCAATTTCTCTAACGAGAAATATTAGAATTCAATTGATTTGAATTCTCGTTGAATAATATTTTACATTAAATTTCCTTGAACGTATTTCTATACTGCGACGTTTACTCATCTACACTTTTTCTAATTCTCTAATTGTTTCTAACCACGTTTCTCACACATGATTTTCGAGCACTTACAGATTTCCTGAAGAAAGTGCTTCAACGCCTTGCCTTCTAATGCTCATGAACAAATTTATAATAAAAGTTAGGAGCCTGCTGTAAACTGCTGCATTAGTTAATAACGTATTTCAATATCTAAAATTACCAAGAGAACTACTACAGATTACATAGCTAAATTTGAATAGTTTAGAGTCTGAAAATTAACTGTTAGAAAATTAATAAAGAAATCTGTTTAGGCAGTGAGGTACGAAATGAAGCAGGCTTAAAATGTGTGGATATGCCTTTAGGATAGAATTGCATAATTTTAGAATTGCTTTCGATTGTACATTAACTTTTAAATAATGTTTTCAGTTTGACTATGTTGGCGGGAATACAATTACAGGTCTCAACAATTTGTGCGGTTTTTTTTTTGAGATTTATGTCGAAACTATTTATAGATTTTTTTTGTAATTGAATATTTAAAGCTTAAATCATGTATGCAAACAATAAATATTGATGTGAATCAACGACAGGAAATAGGTATGTTCCTGAGAACCAAGCGTCCGTCGGTAAACGGGAATAAAGCTTGGAAAATTTTAACTTAACTGTGGCTCAAACAAACTGTACCTATACCAGAGTAAAAGTTAAATTACGAACTAGAAAATTGGTAAGTATTTTATAGGTAGCTATATTCGTGAATTTTACTTTCCGGTTCAAAAGGTTTGGTCATAGTTGCCCTTCAAACCAAGAATACAACGTTTTGTAGTGATTTTAAGTAATTTTAGAATGAATTGTCTTTCTCTACCAATAATGAATGATATTTGCTTAGTGGTACCTACTGCCTATTTTAACTTATTGAGCGATAAAATGTTTAGTTTATTAAAATATCGGATAGCAGCGATTTGTGAAATGAAATGTGAGATTTTCCACTGAAGCATTAGTCATTATAGAAGAATTCCGCAAACTCCCAAATTGACATATGGTTTGTCTTCTCTGAAAGCTTGAAAACTGCGAAGTTTTTGAACGCTGACTCCCTAGGAATAGCTTATATGTGATTGGCTTTTAATTGTATATTTAATCAATGACTTTTGAGGTACAATCTTGAGCCGGAACATCAAAGGACAGGATAATAAAATAATATGGTAATTCATACAAAATTCGGTTAAATTTGCGTTTTAGTCGTCCACATTTCATTCAACATTCTAGGAAATTCTAAAAATAAATGGACGCCTTCCACAAATTTTACATACTTACTTTAATTCTTCTCTTTAGTCCACGGCCATTCAATCATCAATTTAAATTTGGGTGCAGAACAGTTTCGGTTCCTGGAAGCTCTGAAGCGGTTTCTTTTCTATCGGCAGGTCTTTTGAATGAGCGCCATATTGAGTATTGTCAGTTGTCACGCACAAAATAAACTACTGTTGAGTGGGCAAGTGATGCAATGTCAGAAAATCGCATTAATATCAGCTGGGAACGTTTGTTCCGTCCTTGTTCTTACAGTTTCTGCAACAGAGAAGGAAAAACAGCGTATAAATCGGCAATGACGTATGCGTATCCGCATTGTAGGCAGTTTATGGAAAACGACTGTGCGTATTGTTCCAATTTAAATAACAGGGGCGTAACATGCAGTTGATAATTCAGAATCATTTGTCCTGCAAGCAAATTGCAAAAGTGTCATTACGATGAGAGACAATATTCACATTGGACAAAAATTTGTAAACTGTCAAAAAATAATGGAAGTTGAGTTTGATGTACACTGTTAAAATTGAGGTGAAAATTCAGTTACTTTCCAGTATATTTTGTAACTGAAAATTCAGTTTCTGGTTGTTTAAATTAAATTTTCCTTGAGAATCACAGTCTCCGACTCCTTTCCGCATAATCTGCCGTCAAAGTTCCCAGTGATTTTGCATATCTTTGCTAAGTGTGTCCATTAAGCTTCGTTTTCGGGTTCTGGCCTCTTTTCATATTTAACAGGCACTCCGTACGTTTTGTGTCGGGAGGATTTATTAAAGTTTTCTAGGTTGTGACAACCAATGTTGCGTTTGTTGTTTTCTGGTCCAACATTTTAAGCTGTCCTTCATTGTGCTTTTAATCACTCCCAAAACAGGCTCTGGACCCAAGAACTTCTTCTTCTCCGCTCCCTGTTTAGCTGACAGATCTGCCTTTTCGTTTCCATCAATTCTTTTATGTCCTGGTAACCTAGAATATGGTTACTCTGTTCGTTCTTGTTCGTTCTTTATGAGTATCGGTACACTGTAGTACCAGTTTGGACTCCATTGAACGGGCTTCTAGTTTATTTTGTGAAGCTTGACTGTTTGTAGGTGTCAGAAATATTTGTCCTTAAAGACTACTTCTGATACTTTCTCTTGCGCGTTCCTAATAAATAGGTCATCGTGGTAGCGTTTAGTCCTTAAGCACATATTTCTGGTCCCGATCCTATGCCGGATTATTATCTACATGAATTACGATACGATTTTAAGCAACGTCAGGATATTTCCCAGCACTTTAAAAACTATAAAAACACTGACTAGAGTAGTCCATAGAATCCCCATATCTCAGATCTCAGATCAGCATAATCTAGACTAGAAATATAACTTAATAAAAAATGTGAAATGCATGCAGATATGCTTATACGTTTTGATACTTGATTTTCTATTGCTATGCAAATATCTAAAGGTAAAATTTAACCAGTTCCGTTCTAACCACACGTTTTAATTGAGTGTTTTAAGTTCAAGAATAACGACGTGGAAACTTGCAAATATAGTCAAGTAGTTAAAAAAACATGCGTCAATAACACACATTCGAGTTGACCACAGAAACTTGCGACGAACAAAAATTATAAGAAAAGTTCGCAATTATGTTGTCTTATTATTAGTCAAAATCAGGTACGTACTTTGAAGTTAAGCTGACCGCAATTTACTAATTTCCCTAAGTGTTTCTTATCGGATTTTGATTAGCAGTTGGTTGGTACTTCGCAGAAATATTTTATGGTACCTACATTAATTTWAAAAATGTCCATGTATTACTGAACTTAAATTAGAATTTTGTTTTCTACCATTGCTAATTTTACAACCGTTTAGCTTGTCCCTTATGCATATTGATCGATTGCCTTTCTTAAGATTGCGAACTGTGAAGTTGCTCATGTGAAAAGTGCTGAATACCTGGTCACTTCTGTAAATTGCAGCTTTGCCAAATAACCTTTTTAATTAAATAAAATTTAATGAAGTCGAAATTTAAGACAAGAATGTTAACGTTATTTGTGTTTTGTTGGGAAGAGCTAACAAATTTATACCATGACTGGACGTCCAGTTTCAGGTTGTAAATTTTCATTCGGTACAGTAGAACTATCTGTTTATTTTTACGTAAATAAAGAAATTCTTAAATTAATATTTACCAATTGAAACTGAAAAYKGATAAGGAAGTGAAGTTGATGCAATTTTGCTTTGGCATAAACACATCTTTGTGGCTTGTGAAAAGTGCATATACGATGTTGTTTGAGTTCACTCAGACTCATCGTTAGATTTTGTTTGATCTTTGGGAAACATCCAACAAAACGATGCAAACCGTTTTGGAGAAAAATTAAAATTCTTAATTCAACATAAAACATGCTTTCTCTAGGCTCGATTATATTGAGGCATATTCATTCTACCACAAAAATGTTCTACGATAATGTTCGATAAATCATTAAATGACAATATATTATGGAAATCCCTCTCTAGCGCTGGTAAGGTAGTATCTTTAATTATGATAAACTATCAATAATAATACATGTTTAATGATCCAAACCGATATGCAATATTAAATTTAAATTAGGACATAGATAAATCTTTACCAACAGCTACACAACTGTGCACCATCAGGAATCCTCACCCAATGGAGCAATAAGGGTAGAAAAATACTGCATTTTCCATAAAATGTATAAAGAACGTTTGTTTCATCGACTGATCGTTGCAAGAGTCTTAATGATATAAACGGAGACGCCACTGGATAAAAAATCGGTGACGTATTGTATGCTCTTTATGGCTGCCAGGGCCATATGTAATGTTCTCAAATAATGGGGCTGTCGGCCGGCAAAGGTGGGTGCCTCTTTCCATTTCTAAATGCCGAGTAAACTGCAGAATTTATAGTTTGTGCCATCTTGCACCGCACAATACTCCTGCTGGTTGTTCGAGTCCTGTTTTGCTTTTATGCTAATTTTCTCTTCGATTCTTTTTTCAGCTCGTTAATGGCGTGGGACGATATAGAATTTCTGGTTTGGGTATTGGTAACTAGACATGCCATTGCGGAATTATTTGCCAAGTACGAAAATTTAGTAGACGTACTGAAGTGTTTTATTTATAGGTTCCTTAATATTAAAAGAAAGTTATTTGAAAATACGCGATTATGTTTTGCATCGGTTGTAAAATATTTTCAGCGATTACTCTAGCGCACAATTGAAAACTGAATTGGCAAACTCTTCAACCAGAAGAAGTTATTATTGGTATAATCTAAGGAATATAAAAGTTTTCCTATTAGCTTTATAGCAGTTACTCTTAATGCGTCTGGCCAAAAAATCAACTAACTTTTCGGTAACAGATTTTCTTCAAAGGTGCGACACTTTCCAATCCAAACTCGCTCGGAAGCTGTGTTCATTTTAATCTATAAAACGATACATTTCCTACGAAGAATTCGTGATGTTGCAACATCAATGTCTTAGTTTTAGTGTCATACTTCCAAGGTTAAACATCTCGTTGGCCTTTCTCCAAACTACCTTGTGTATCACACAGACAGTTGAAAAAATCTTAAATAATGCGTTTTCGTTTTTTTTTGAATTTTTTAACCATGTTTCTTTCATTTTGCATTTCAAACGGTAAAGCTGTATTTGAGCTTTATTTATTTAATAAGCTTTTGGTTATAGTTAATTTTTAGCGAATCAACTGTTCTATATTTATTCGCAACCACAAAAAAATTGAAGCAATTTTGTTCTGTCAAATGAAATAATAAATGAGAAATGTGAATAGTCATGCGTTTGAACATTAAATTAAATCAAAATTACTTGTCTAGACATGTTTCTGCATGGAAGACTAAACAAACGGACATAATCCCGCCGAAAAATCCCAGTTTATAAATTTCGAATACTCAGTGACATAGATGCGAAATTATTTTACCATAACGTTTGAAAAAGCAAAACAGCAGATATACAACTGCATAATTTATAGTCCATTTTCCTCTTTCCCGAGCATTTTCCGACCCGCCTCGAATAAGCTACTGAACCGTTTTACATATTTTTACCATTTTTAATATGGGCTTGCATAATTTTGTTTGCGAACACTATTAGACTGCGCTAGTTCTGTATGCATACTGTCAAGCACTTCTGTTTTTAGAATGTCACCAGCACCACAATAAAACCTTTTCATTTTCACAACAGTCACCGTTACCATACATTTACTACCTACTATTTGAAAAGTATATAGAAGAAGGATTTTAATTTGTGAACATTGTGACTAATCATTCACTATATATAATCATGTGTCACCTAATAATTTACTAAAATATTAACCACAAATCAATCAAAAATTTAGATTTCTAATGTTTTCCTATAATATATGTAAACATGTTTTGAAAACGAGGAGTTTTCAAAGCTTTTGCATATTGAATACCTATAAGTACTGACAAAATAGAGTGCATTTATACACTGGCTTTTACCGTTTAATTTTGCTGCTTTCTTGCGGAACCCTTTAAATTTGACGGTTAATTTGCAATACAAGTTTGGAAGAAAGCACTGCTGTAGAGATTTGTAATTTATTTTGAGTTGGTTTGTTTCATCCTTTTTATTTTTACCTATACATGATATGATGCAATTTTAATGGCTTGGAAAGTACGTTTGCCTCAGTATCGTAAAATTTCGCTGACGATATCCTGTTGTGATATTTGCTCATTTTAACGTACCATTTAATGTGCATAACGAAGACGTATAACACGCTTCCGCGTCAGATATTTGGTACTATTAAAGCACTCCAAAGCCAATAAAATAAACACTTTGGCCGCTAATAAATATCCAGATTTTATCGAGCCAAGTTGTGAAGCCACCAACGAAAAGCTGATTCCAGAATCATTACAATATCAATAAACGAGAATGATGGCTGTAAAAATTCATCGACAATTTACGTTTTCTCTTTTCTCCAATTCTAAACTTTGTTAAAAATTAAACAAGATGCGGCGTTATTAAATAAACCTCCGCTAAATTATAGTTATTAAAAGGACGACGTTAATCAGACCATAAATCACTTGCAACATATTTATAACGGCCATATGTTAGAGGTTGAATAACGTCGACCGATGTTTTTAGAGGAACGCGCAAATAAACACGCGTTGTATATGCTGATAATGTCTCGACTTATGGCTTTTATAAATTTACACCCATACACTCCAATAAAATTAACCCTGTCTAGCCGCCTTGTTTTCTTTACTAATAATTGAAATTTTACATATTTGAAAATGAAAATCG